TGGTGGTGCACGGCCGTTTTTAGATGGTGGAGCGATTTGTCTGGTTAATTCCGATAACGAACGAGACTCCGACATGCTAACTAGTTACGGGACCTGGTGCGGTCGCCGCACAACTTCTTAGAGGGACAAGTGGCGTTCAGCCACACGAGATTGAGCAATAACAGGTCTGTGATGCCCTTAGATGTCCGGGGCTGCACGCGCGCCACCTTTATATTAATAGTTTCTCACTCACTAATAAAATACACACACACACACACACACACACACACACACACTTTTTATTAGCGGTAACATTTCTTTTACTTGATGCATCAATCAGATTACATTACATTGTTCTTAATATTACGTTTAGTCAAAATTCAATCCAAATTGTTTACAAAAATAAAAGATATCGAATGAATGGCGCTGCAATTACCATTCTTAAAATAGAATTAAAATAAAACAGTGGTGTTTCCATGTTTGTTTATATAGTAGAAGTGTTTCCACCACTTTACTTAGGGGCTTACGTTTAAACAAGCTATTTGAGAAATACAACAAAAATAGGACCTTCCTGAAATAAAACACTTAAATGACCCAAACAACTTGTACAACACACACAAACATGGTCTGGTTTAAATCCTGACAGTCATGAGATACTAACCAAACACATAGTGATTTCTAAAAGTTTTAGCTACATGGACAAAAACTAATTGAAGAGAGAAAAAACTTGCGCTCATAGAAATGCTAATGAGGGTCTCCCTTGGCATTGCAAGCATTTTGTAAACCTCTACTGTGGTCAAAAACAGAATTTTGAAAGCACCAACCCTGGGGGACAATTACTATACATCTTGACTCAATTAATTCCGCGTCAGCAACATTTGGTCAACTTCACACACACCAGCTCCAGTTTATCCAGTACTGAAAACGGCAAATAAAACTATAAGAAGCATCTATGTTTACTTGTAGGATTTCTGCTTAATCCCATTTCCGGCTTTGTATCCTAAGTTTTAAAAATCATTCCCGGTGCCCCCACACCGCTGAGCGGCCACCTATCCCCACCACAACAGTGACCAGCACCACGAAGCTTTTGTGCAGCATGGTTTTAAAATATGCTTGGCCTTCTGCTATGCCATTGAATTAACCTTTTTACTGGCTAATTGTTTCTTCGAGTTTCAAAGACTGCAGGTTATCATCAGTGTGAGTTTCACCCATTTAAAAAAGGAGAGTTAGTAGTCCATGTGATAGGAGGTGGTTGGCTGGAAGTATTACCCGGTATGAAGGGTCATTTTGTTCAGTAGGCTAAGAGCTACATACTGAACGCTGTGACTCGTGTATATGCAGTGTACATGCTGAAATCCACGTGTAAAAACAGACGTCGTCACAGATGCCATGTAAACAGGGGTAGCGTTAGCGTTCGATTTGAATGCCACAAAAAAAACTTGGAAAATGGGAAAGAACGGTCATGCGATTGATTGTACAAACAGATTTAACACGAAATGGGAGCTATCTTTCCAAAGATTGCCAAAAACTACATAAGTAAGTATAGCACGTGGATTGGTCACGCATGGCAGATACCTGATCCGTCAAATAGGTCTGGATCGGCGCCGATACTGATTCGAATATCGGATCGGTGCATCTCTAATATTTATTGATATTTACAAACATGAACGAATACAGTTATTTAAGATTGTATGTGGTGTTTGAATAATTTTTAAAAGAATAATAATTAGTTATTAAATATTTTTTATCAGTAATTTTTTTCCTCAATTACTAGACATTTCAGTGGACCCCATTTGAATTCCAGGCGACCCCATATGGGGTCGAAACCCCAAGGTTGAAAAACACTGCTCTATTTAAACAAAATAATAAAATTTTAAAAATCACTAAATTATAAATGCTCTGGTCAAGGTAATAACAGCTCTTGTGTTCGGGTCGGCACCGACTCGTTTAAGTTTAAAATGCATAAAAGCACCACATAAATTTGTGCACTGCATCAGGAACCTCTATTTAAACAAAATAAATTAAAAAAAAAAAAATCACTAGGCAAGGCATGCCCAGACATGCAAGGCAAGACCAATTCAGTTTACTTATATAATTCTCTTGAGGTTTATTTTACCATATTTTTTTTTATTGAGACAGAGAGCTATGCCGTCCAGAAAGCCACCACAAACAATCTTTTCATGGATAAGGAAACTTAACAAGGTAACCAAGAGATAAGAAACAAATTGGATGATAAATAATTGTTTTGATGGCTGATTTAAGACAACGGGTGAATGAATAAGTTATCTGCATCCCTATACATTATCTATGTGTAACACACATCTGGCCAGTTCTAGCAGCACACCAGTTGGAAAAAAACACTCACTTACATACCACTCGTATTATATTATTATACAATGCCTATAGCTCCAATGTAACACTTTGGCACTTTATAACGAGTTCGGATACAAAACCAGCCAAGTCCATTTGTCCTCTTAGGGGCTTTTGCCAAAAAGCTATGAACTGAATTAAGTCCCAAGCAGGTTTTGCAGCAATGTCAATTTGTTTTTTGTGTAATAGACACTTAAAGCTTCCTGAAAGCTACCGTAACCGATTTTTCACAGAAATCGTGTTTAGCAGGTTTTTCAGTTTGAACTACTCATGTATTTGTGAAGCCAATAAAGGCTACTGAACTGAGAGGAATAGAAGGAGATGAAGGGAAACGGAACACCAATGAGGAGATGGCCCATAATATATTACAGTATAGAAAAAAATCATGACCGTAAGATAGGGATTTCTGTGCACAAAGGTCAAAAGAAGTTTCCACATTCCATGCACCAGGCCAAATCAATATAA